ACACACGCACAAGTCGTAAGCCGCCAGACGAACACCTACTCATGGCAACACAAACAGTTTGTGTTTGTGCAGAGCAAAGTGAAAAAACAAAAAGAGGAAGGACGACTTTCATGCTCGCCCGTGTGTGACATTTACACAGTTACGTTTTCTTAAAAAAGAAAAAAAAAAAACAACAGGAGACCGTCCACACTCACTTAAAGGACACATTTACCTTTGTTTGGATTTCTAAATGTCACTGTCAGCGGTGGCAGCGACGAGGCAGAACACGCTGATGCACTACAGTGTCTTACGCAACAACTCAAGTGGCTCATAAACAAGTTGTGTTTAATTTAACCTGAGTAGGTGCTGCTGCTGCTGCTGCTGCTGCTGCTGTGACTCGTACACCCAGGCATCAAACCGAATGTGATGAAAAACACTCATTCAACCACGCACGACTAGCGTGCACAGAAGCCATCCCCACCCCACCCCCCGGCACGCCGACAGCATGGTTAGTGACATGTAAAACCAGGGTAGCATCTGGACCCTGGTTCCATCTCTTCTGGTTAACGCACATGCAGAAAAATATTCAAACACAAGCACAAAGCTCATGATTAGCAACGTCAACTGTACTTCCTAATTTTTGGACCGACTTGTAAATGCGCCATAAAAGAAAGGCTTCATCCGCAGTCTCACTTCCACCAGAGTGCTCGAGGAAACCGAATACTTGATGGCTTCAAATGTGATTGGATTGCATAGTCATGAATAGGAATGCTAACGATGAATCATTAATCGATCAGCTGGCGTTCATATCTTAACCCAGAGATGTTAATGATTAATGGATTAATTTAAAACTACAGTAGCTGATAAGGCAGAAATCAAGGGTCGTGGAGATTCGCTGTAGTACCTGGTTGCACCACCAGGTGGAGCCTCCCTGCAGGAGGTGGCTGTATTGGGAGCTATGAGATGTTTAATGGTCTCCAACCAGCCCTCATTTGGCTCAATCTGGACGTGCTTGATCAGACTATGCCAGCAGAAAGCTTTATGAGGGTTTAGCGAGTAAAAAGCCACCATGACAAAGACTTTTCTGACACTTAAAGGCCAATTCATGCTTTCTACATGTTTGCTGTGCGTCCACTCCATGAATCAAACAGACTTCATGCATCCTGTTGGCCTTCTCATATCTTTCTCATACATACTTTCCCTTCAGCCTACATGCACTTCTTCCCAGGAGATTTGGTTAGTTCTTTCCAGGAGTGAAAGGTCATTTGCATGTCCTTTTGCTCCTCTCCTTCTACTCCAACACTACACTTGCGGATGCAGAAATCATGACTGGAATCTGAGCTCACGTATTCGGCATCGCTGTGGTTGCCTGTTTGTTGTGTTTTGATTGTTGTGGATGGGCGATGTGGTTTTGTTGGTGTGAGTTTGGTGAGTGAATAGCCACCATGACAGAGATCTGTGTAGCGCTTAATGACCAAACAAATCCACCAGCTTCAGCTTCTTATTATCATATAAATCAGAGAGCAGCTGTTTCTGCAAAGTTATTATCAGATGATGTTTAATATCAAACAGCAAACTGTCTGTGGTTAAAAATAGCTTCTGTCCCTCTGTAGCTTTAATTCATTTCAACAAATAATCAAGTACTGATTGATAAAACGGTTTAAAATGCGCCTCCCAACCCCCTGAATACGTCTTCATACGCAGAGCATTCAGCACCTCCTGACTTCCTCTTTTGGCCGCGAACACTCGAGGGTCCCGTCTGTCGAGGTTGTTCATGTGGAGTAAAGTTCAGCTGCTGTCAGAAAATCCAGCATCACTCGGTCTGTTTTCATAACTGGAACCAGTACAGTAGAAAATGCAAACCACAGCACGCGGAGATTTTTAAAATGGGTCAACTTTCATTCTTCAAACGTGACTGTGAGTGCTGTAAGTAAGAAAACAGGAAACTAATTATTTTTATCCATCGGCCTGTGGCAGATGAGTTACAAAATGCGCCAGAGACTTTGGGCGAACCGGGGTTTGTTTTTAGACAGCTGCAGCTAACGGTTAGCCTCCTTATTGATTCACTGAGGGCTGTGTTTTCAATTTATCACTTATAATATCCAAGAAAACGACCCGGAGCACGAGGAGAGGCCGCTGAATGTCCCAAACCAAAAGTGTTTTGTTTGTGTAAAAGCAGCTTACATTTGAGAGCTTTTTTTGAAGTTATTTTTTTAGCGTTTGTTGGATAGTATAGTCAGAGAGAGACAGGAAAGTAGAGGAGAGGACGTGTGGGAAAGGGTCATGAGCGGGATTCGAACTCATGACCTCCACATTGGGACTGTAGCCCTACACATGGGATGCCAGGTGAGCTATACCGGCGCCCCTTGAGAGCTATTTTTGAGAAATATTAGTTACAGATTACAGTTAATTTCCTAACAGCTGCAGCTTTGTAATAAAAGAAGACAAACAAACTCCCTTCTGTCATATTGGTGCATACAGGAGTTCCTTTAAGTCCGTCGCCTGCCAGAACATTTCCTCAGATGAAAATCATTGCCTTTTCTTCCACAGGGTCCCTCCACAACATGATTACAAGTGCATCGTTTACTGTCTATCAGGAGCTCTGCAGCTAATCAACAGTGTGCATTCGTGATTGTCTGCTCCCTGATTTATTGCGCTCATGACAGTTTAGCCACTTTACTCCACATCAAGAACCGCAGCAACTGGATACTTCAACACTGCGAAAGCCGCATATTCCCTCATTAAGGGCGAGTTATTAAATGCGCTGCGGTTTACTTGACTTCGCGAGAGCAAGCATCTCGTGTCGGTCCAAGTCGGCGCAACTCTCTTCTGGCAGCTTTTGTGACGTACAGCAGCGATAGTCGTGCTGCCCGCTGACCGGACGCTGAACTCATCCTCTCCATCCCTAATGTGAGCACTGCAAAGGTGTCACTGCACATGCACCGAGTTCAGCATCTCCCCTCGTCGTTCACAGCCTTTACAGCATCCAGGCCTCAAGCAGGCTCCATCCCATAATGTTCCATAAGAGCCCACACACATACATGATGTAAAAAAAAAGGGAAAACAGGCCTCATTCTTTGCATTCTCGGGCCTCATCTGGCTCCGCACATGGGGCCCTGAGCTACAGTAAACTGCTCCGGCATCATCATCATCATCATCCTCCACCATGTGCAGCCGCCGCTCCACCCCCACCGCGGTGACGGCACCAGGCCACAGCCCCTCCCTGCCAGCGCCGGCTGGGTGGAGGAGCTCCGGCCTGGGCTGGGTGGAGGGAGCAGAGGAGGGCCGGGCGCCGAGCCAATGTGTCGGGCCTCTGACAGATGCATCGGGGGTAAGATGCTGCTCTCGGACACGTTGCAGTTTAGTGAGTGCATATCATCAAAGCAAGAAGAACAAAAAAGAAAAACGATTTTCTGCTCCGTGACAGCAGCAGCAGCAGCAGCAGCGTGTGTGTGCTGCAGATCAATGAGCTTTTTATATGATTATTGCATCAGTTAGAGGCTTCTGATTTACAGGTTCACATGGGTTGGGCAACCCTGAAGTGGTTTATCAGTAAATCTACACTTTAAAACGACTGATTTCAGTGTGGTTTATGTGCACATGTGTGTGTGTGAGTGTTTAGGGCTCTGCTGCCAGCCAGGTCAGAAAGTAGCTAAAAGCACTGAGGGGACTCTGAAGTCTGTGGGATTATTCTGGCACAATGGTGCTGGCGACGAAACTAAATACAGTGAAATGAGCCTAATGAGATCTAACGGGATTATAGTAGCGCGCAGAAACACTGAGAAGATAAAGCAACTAAACAGGCGTAGCTGCATAGAAAACTACTAGAGGTGTTCTGTTCTTATAGACATTTATATACAGACAGTCATGGGGGCTTCTGTAGCAGCCTGGATGCTGTGCTGAATATATATATATATATATATATATATATATTAAATAGTCTCCATCCTTTTTATATATATATGTATGAGGACAATGATGCCTGTTTTGTTGTTTATTTTACAGTTTAGACTATATAAATAGACAACTATGGCTGTTTAGATGGTGTTTTTTTGCATATATATGATATTTAAACATTTACCACATACATGACTTTCTATATACTACATGTACATTAGGGTGCAGATACGTGTGTCTACTGTACATCATATTATATTTATATTTAGATATATTATGCACATGTATACTCTATATATTATAAATAGACAACAGGGTGTTTTTGCTGCATAAATACAGACAGATAGCAACTAAATACCCACAGTTGACTATATATATGTACATTAGGGTGCAGATAAAGGTGTTTAATGTCTATCACATCATATTTATATATATTATGTGCATCTATATACTATTAAATAAAGACAACCAGGTGTTTTTGCTGCATAAATACAGATGGACATCCCCTAAGAACCGATACTTGCCTATATATATGTACATAAGGGTGCAGATAAGCCTGTTTACTGTCTCACACACACATATAGTTTGGTGTCCTATATCCACACCAAGAATGTGATAACTCTGCAGAAGACCTTGTTAATGTAATAATCTGTGTTTGTTGGATCAACACATGTGCAGATTAGAGTGTTGACTGTCTGACATTTCTTCATCCTCCTCCTCCTCCTCCTCCTCGCTGAGCTGAACATGTGCTCTGGAGCAGCAGCAGCAGCAGCAGCAGCGGCGGCGGCGCACCGGCGCACGGCGCAGGCCTCGCTGGGGGTTTCTATGCATGCGAACACTTCCTCACCCTGCTTGAACCTGCCACCATCTTGAATGAGTCACAAAACCCAAACGAGAAGCTCAGCTGTGACTCAGGTTCGTGTTTTGTGAGAGCCCGCCTCGGTTCTTTCCCTCAGACCCGCCACCGGCCCCCCGCTACCTGTGTCCCACCTGTGCCCCCCCTCCCCCTCTCCCTCCCGTCCCACCTGCGTGTGTTCCACCCACGGAGCTTTCAATTAAGAGCACCGAGCTCCTGTGAGAGCATTAATTAGGGATGTGCTGGTTTCTGTGTCGGGTTCACCCACCTTAAACAGACTTTGTGTCAGTCCCTTCCTGACCTGCGTCCACAAATAGGCGCAAAAGAAAAACAGGGCGATTTCGGTCCAGGTAATGTACGCGTTCTCCAGGAGAGTCCGTTTGGAGAGCTCCAGCCCGCAGCTGCCACAGTCCCTCCAGGCGCGCAGCATGACGGTGGAGGCTCTGCTGATCAAGTCCAAGTAGCCCGGCATGGGCTCCACTTCCACCGGCCCGGCGGGACTACCCATTGTGGCGGCGCACGGGCGACAAAAACCGGCAGAAAGGGCTCCGGCCGAGGCAGAGATGGAGTCCGGTTCGCTGTTGGGTCCAGACGGTGCGGCTGATCGGTGGAGCAGCCTTCTAGCTCAGCTCGAACAGCTTATCTAACCAGCTTACCCCGCTCAGTAGCCTAATTCTTTGTTGTCCAAATTAAGACACGGGCCCATTCTTCGCGTCCTGGACCGTTGGATGAATGATTTCGGGGCCCGGCGGCTCTGCGGGGACGAACCGACACCGAGGCTTGGTTTGAAGATCACACAAAGCGAATCCTGAGCAGGTTTTGGCCGTGAATGTGACCCATTAGCGCTGCTGGAGGTTGGTTCTGCTCATCATTCCGCTACGCTCATCTGCGGCAGCAGCGCGTCCTGGTTAGCCGCCTTAGCTAAGTCCGACCACAGCAGGGACTGGAGCAGCATTGGCAACACAGTTAGCCTGAACGTGTCACCGCGGCCGAGCGCACACACATGAACGAGTTAGAGGCTGGAGGTTTCCTTTAACAGCTCTGCTCGGTGATTAGCGCCGCGCCGCCGCCACACGGGCTCATCTGTCCGTTATCCGCCTTATATAACGTCTCCGCGCCGCGACGCTCGGCGGCAGATTCCCGACACGAAGGCGAGTTATTCCAGCGAAAACAAAAGGATAAATCGGAGGAATATTATCCTGCGAAGAGGCTGCGGTGTGCTGCTGCTCGTCCTCCGCCTCTCGGTGCCGCGGCTCCGGCTGGTCAACGTGTCCGACGCTGCGTCCTGACGAGCGGCGCTGCGCTCCGATCAACTGTTGCGGTGGAAAGCGGGACAGACAGCTCCGCTCCGTTTATGCGAAAAGGGGGGAAAAAAGCGGAGGGGGCGTGACGCAATTAGGACCGCTATCTTGTGTTTGAACCGTCTTCTGCTCGGAGGATTAGAGAGGATGGCTTAAAGAGACAGTGCAGGATCCGCACGGGGCTGCGCACGACGCACCGGCATCACGCAGACGTCCCAGAAAGCGCAAAAAAAAGACGTCAAATTCTCAATTCTTCATTACGGCTGCTGGTCTCATGAACGAGGCCGGAGACACTCAGCGCCTCCTCCAAACCTCCACCAGCAACAAACGACATGAACACACAGCTTCCTAAATCACATGATTTATCTTCTGCACATCTCAGATCATTCACACCATCTACTAGTTAAATGTGCGCATTCCTGCACACTGCAAATATTTCTACCACTTTTTTTTTTTATCACTTAAAATTCTTTGGATTTGCTCCATTTGCTTGTTATTTGTTCTGCTGTTGCAATACTTTCACTTGGCATTTAAAAAAAGGGGGAAAGAATGGCAGCAGCATCCTGCACCGACTCCCTGAATTCATTTTAATCCCTTATTTGTTTATAAAGTCATTCCTCCTCTGGTGATATTTTCATGTTTTCAGTGGCTTGTTGCTGCTGGTGATGCTTCAGATTTATTTCAACTTTAGAAATTAATCTTAATGATATTTCTTTAGACCATTTTCTTTTCTTCTGTCTTGACATTTGCACATAATTTCTGCTGCTACGTGGCTGATAACATGTGCAGCACTCTGGTCAACTCTGTGCTACATAATTTAATTTCCAACATTTGCTTTCTTTTTGAATCCTTATTTAAAACCTCTACTGCTCAGCTTTTACTGTAATGCACCAAATCACCACATCAAATGCAACTGATTCTGAATTCTTAACCTCGTGCAGCCCCCCTCTGAAAAACTCCCCACAGCAAACACAAGTCAGCTATCACACATTTATTATCATTTCACAGGAATGTTTGCATTACACATGTATGTGGTGGAAGAAATACAAATCTATAAAGAGTGAACAACCTCCAGAGGGGAAACGATGACCTCAGGTGTGGTTTAAATAACAGGGCCAACGTCTCCATGTGAAAACACACAGCGGACAAAAATACAAACGCAGCATGTCGATGGTCTTATTTTCTGACTAAATTAAGCTAAGTGTGCACAGAAAGCGTTACACCACCTGCTCGTGGCTTTAGAAAAAAAAAAAAAAACAATGATCAGATAGCGTGAGTCGCTCCTATAAAAAGGTCGCCTCAAAATGCAGCTTTATTCAAATGACGCAACGCCACAGATGACAGGAAAAACACTTTAGTTGGGGCATCGGTCGCATCGAGCTCTGAAAGAAAATCTGCCACATGGCCCAAAAAATGTCCACCGACTTCCCCGAGTCCTCCTAGATTAGCAGGACGTCATTTAAACTGTGTCCCAGATGACTCATGCCCAGAAAGTCACCATTTGTCGTCTAAAAAAGAATCTTCTTAGAGCTCGGTGCGACAGAAGATCGGTCACATGATGCTCTGGATGTCTGACAACGCAATCATGTGGCCCAACAATGTCCACCGACTTCACCGAGTCCTTCCAGATAAGCAGGACGTCAATCAATTTGATGATGATTCATTATGTTGTAAAAATGCAGCATAGTTCTGAATGCCTAGAAGTTTGTCGTCTAAAAAAATCATCTCAGAGGTCAATGAGACAGAAAATCTGCCACATGATGGTCTGGATGTCGCAATCCTGTTGCCCGAAAATGTCCACCGACTTCACCGAGTCCTTCGGGATTAAACCTACACCGCAAATGTGACTCAAAACTGGATTTCTGTTTTGTTTTTCAAAGTGCTTGGTGGTTTGATTCTGTTGCAGAGATGTTTTGGGACGTCTATTCCTTTACGTTAAAAAGAATCCCCAGAATTTAATAAAACCTAACATGCTGCGTTTGTATTTCAGCTCCGTACACATGTAAGATGACGAGTCGTTTCCACGGTAGAAGCAGCTGCTTCATGCTGTAGCGGTGGGAGCGTACTGCATCGCTAGTCTGTCGAACTCATTCTCCTGCAGGGAAACAAAAAAAAAAAGAGCAGAAGAAACAGTTAAACACACAAAAATCTGACCGTGGAAACAGCTGTGCATCGCATGCTTTGTTTGGAGTAACCCAGTTCTGGTGTGTTTATGTACATCTGCGCTCTTGTGTAATTACACCGCCGCAGAGTGTGACAAAGGCTAAAGATTCAGAGTTTAATGCTCTGGTTGGGTTCGCTCCAAGGACACCTGCTGCCAGACCATCATAACAACCGGGCCAGGTGATTAAATTATAACAGAGTGGAGTTAAGAAGGCAGCAGCTGTGACGGGAAGCAGCGAGGAGGCTTACCTTCGCTAAGTAGTCTTTGAGGAAGGGGTGAGCTCTGTGTGCATCCTTCAGCTGGGAGAGATAGCGATTGGTTACCTGAAGACAAACAGATGACGGGAAAGTTTGGAAACAACAGTGACAGTAAACGAGCCTGAACAAAGATCTGAAGCACGGGGTTGATAGAGTCAAGGTTGTGAAGGTTTGTCCACAAATAAAAGCGTGGTTTCCAAGGCCTGAACACGGCATTCTGATCGAACTGTTTGGTTTTTAATCACATCAGACGGTTGTGGTGTCGTCTTTGATCTTCTCAGTGGTTTGAAGGAGGTGAAGCTAATGTGGCAGAAAACACAAACTGGGCACTAATTAGAATTTAGCGACATTTAACTCGTTAAACACGATGACGATTGCGAGATAGTTTCAATACAGTATGACTAAACCACAACTAAACTGTCTGTAAAAAACTGTACTTCTGTTGTTGCTAAATTTGTCGCAGATGTTTAATGTCAGAGACGGAAACCTTCGACTACGAACTGCAGGTTGCGTAACTTCCAGGAATGCTGCAAATATTGTTGATCGAAACCGTGTTTGGAAGCGTTCGCATAGCTTCGTCCTCGTGGGATTTTGGGACTGGAAATAAATGCAATTCAATCTAGAGAAGCTTTCCCCTCATGCACCCGGAAACAAATAAAAGTAAGAAAAACAAAATACAACGAATACAAAAGTCAAAATAACACATAAAAACAAAAACAAACATTGCTCAGAGAGAATACAGGGAGTCCTTGAATTTGTAGGGTCACAACTATAGTGCTCAATATGTCAGGTTAATCTGACACTGTAGTGACTGAGCCTGAATATTTTGTCAATCTAATCTCTACAACTAATACTACTGCAGTGTCGTAGCCTCAATATTTCAATTAGTCAGGCTTATCTCTATAACTAATAACACTGTACAGTCTTAGCCTGGATATTTAAATTAGTCAGGGTAATCGCGATACCAAAAAATACTGTACGGTCTTAGCCTTACTATTTTAATTAGTCAAGCTAATCTCTATAACGAATGAAACTGTACAGTCTTAGCCTGAATATTTAAATTAGTCAGGCTAATCGCTATAACTAATAATATCATACGGACTTAGCCTTAACATTTAAATTAGGCAAGTTAATCTCTATAGCTAATAATCCTGCAGTGTGTTAGCCTGAATATTTAAATTTGTCAGGCTAATCTCTCTAACTAACAATATCATACGGACTTAGCCTTAACATTTAAATTAGTCAGGCTAACCTCTAAAGCTAATTAAACTGTACAGTCTTAGCCTGAAAATTTAAACTAGTCTGGTTAATCTCTATGACTAACAACACTCTACGCTCATATCCTTAATATTTAAAATAGTCAGGCTAATCTCTATAACTAATAATACTGGACTGTCTTATCCTTACTATTCTAATTAGTCAGGCTAAACTCTATAACTAATAATACTGTAAGGTCTTAGCGTTTATATCTCTATAATGTATAATACTGCAGGGTCTTAGCCTTAATATTTAATCTACATAATTACTACACTCGTGTCACAGACCTATTATTTAAATTAGTTAGCACACTGTCCATACTGAACAATGCTGTAGCGTTTAAACTAGTAAGGCTAATCTCAATAATATTAATAATACTGCAGGGTCTTAACATTTATTACAGGGAGATAAAGTTGTATTGCTCATCCTGTTTTTAGGCTCTTAACTCTGAAAATGTGAAATTCTCAGTTAAATTATGACATCATTACAGTATCGGGTCTTAACCTCAACATTTAATCTTGCTCTTGGTCAATTCATAATCTTATTTTTCTACTACTTTGGTGCAACAGCTGTGGTCTTAAATGTGCTGCATAACTCACATCATACCTGAGGATGAGCACCTTTTTTTTTTTTTCTTTCCAGCCAGTTTTCAAAGAAACCTCCACATAATTCCTGTTAACCTTGAGCAACACGTGCTAATCAGCGGTTATCGCAGGCGGACCCTTTCTAATGATGTCTTTGAGTCGATGGTCAGCATTCTGGTGCGTCGCTATCAAGTCCATCGAATGCACGGGAGATAATTGAGCCTCTATCTCTTGAACTCTGAGATTCGGGTTGCGCAACTCGCACTCAAGCCACTCAAACCAGAAGACCTGTGACGGAAGGAGGTGCCGTATATCTTCCTGATTTAAACAAAACAACTACAAGTTAAACTGTAGACACGCTGCATGTTGAGGCATAAAGCATTCCTGAGCGAAACCCCGCTGCAACTCCCCTTTCGACGGGCTCGTCTGTGAGGAAGAGCTAAACCGATGGCCGTTGAAACAATGCTGCCGTTAACAGCTGAGAGTCCAAAGTCTCACCTCGGGAGCTTTGCCCAGGTGCTGGGTCAGCACGATGAGGTTGATCAGCGTCTCAGGGTGGCTGCTGTCCTGATAAGGTGACAGAGAGAAAGATACAGAAAGTGACGAGCTTTGTTCTTGAAAAGCAGACAAGCAGAAACTGGACGGTGGAAAGATAGCGCCTCGCATGTCATCTCTGCTCCACTTTAATTCAACTGTTTCACACACGTTCAGCAACATCCAGACTTTAGCTTCACCACTGTTTTCAGTTATTAATACACAAAATAAGCTTTATTTAAAAGAATAAGTTACCAAATGTTTTAATAAACACATGTGCTCATGCTGCTTTTTCTACTAGATGTTTATATTTGATTAAAAATGTCTGATTGTGTGAATTCATTTCCACTGACAATAAAAAGAATTCTACTCTATTAGCACCTTCTGTTTAGCATGTCATTTAATGAGAGCAACAATCAAACGAAACAACCCCAGTTTCTTCTTTTTCATAGGTACAGAAAAGACTTAGCAGCGTCCAGTTTACTGCATCCATTGGGGCCGATTAACTCTGAATTAATTCGTTTGTCTTGTTCAGCTGTTCTCAGAACGTGTGAAAGTCGTGTCACAGTCGTGTTATGTTCTATCTCCTCAGCCGCTGCCTTGTAAAAATTTAACCACCACAGGCTCGGAGGATGGCTCACAGAGAGAGCACGCCATAAACCCAAGATCTGCCTCGTAAAACGCGATTTCTAAGACATCAAAGTTATCCGGATGAGCGGCAGGAAGTGTCGTTCACTTACAAGAAATCTGATTTTATTTAGAAAGAGAGCTGAGATTTTTATCAGCAGAGCAAAGATTGTAAATGCACAATAAATTAAATAATAACACCACAAATTAAATAATTAGCTGTACATTGTGGATTAATGGTGTGTGCTGGTTAAACTTAAACCAGTAATAGATGAAAAACCTCCCAGTTCTATAAAGCAAATGCTGCCATCTGCTGTTACAATGAAGGCAGACGAGTTTCTTTTTTTTTTTTTAATGACTGCACATTGTTGAATAAAGCTTCAGCAGAAGGCGTCACAACCGATACGTCACATATTGCTGCTCATGTCTGATTGCCACACTTCCTCTGCTGTTTTGAAAAGTGGATCGTTTCCTATGTTTGAGTACTTCTATGGGTTGTATTTATGTTTTCAGTGCAGCACACCTCAAAATAAACAAGGCTGTAGATTCTTTGAACCTCAAAACCTGCCTGTGGGTTTGAAAGGTATGCTGTCTTTAAAAAAGAAAAGATCCCTGAAAAAACAAACAAAAAAAACACCATTTGTCAAAGTCAACGAAACAAAAAAAAAGGTCAGATTTTCAACTTTTGAGCTGAACTAATCATCCGTAACGTGGCGTTCCGTTGGGATACTTAATCAAGTCTCAAGATCATGTTGTAACACATGCCTAGTTTAGAAATTCAGCAAAAATTAACAGTTAGTTCTGCAGAGCTTCTGTAAAAAAACAAGACATTCTGTGCTGCTCGTCACAACCAGGAAGTGACAAACATTCTACAGAAATTCAGGGACTTTTCTGCTAAATTAAGGCTGTGTTTCAACAGAGCTGATGTCACTTCCTGTTCATCTACATGAACAGGGCAACCGGACCTCAGTAGAACGACCTTCCTCTATTCTGCTCATATTTTATCCTGTGTTACTTCAGTCATGTTTGATTTGATATTGGTAACCTTCTTGGCCAGGTCTCCCTTGAAAAAGAGATTTTATTCTCAGGAAGACTTCCTGGTTAAATAAAAAATAAGTGTAGAAACAAATTAAATATGTAAATTATCTATATTCTATATTGTATCTATGGATCTACACATTACAGGGAACCACCCTTTTCCCCAGTATTGACAACATCTGTGGGCATTTAGAAAAATGTTGGACATGTTGATTCCAGGTTCCATTTTTGTTTTTCTTTGTTTATGGTTTTTTCGAGTCTTTTTCCTTCTAGTCATGGTTGTTCTGATTCATAGAGGTGCCTACGTTCAGTAAAAATGAGCCCACAGGAGCAAAATAAACCCACAGAAGCTACTACAGACCAACAGATCAGCAGCTGTGAAACAATGAGCGTGAACTGCACTGTGTTTTTAATCACAACTTCACACTAAGAGGAAGATCTGAGCGGTTTGTTGAAGTGATCATCAAGTTGTCAGCCATCGTCAAGGTTCAACAAAACCTAAATAACATCTCTAACAGCAGAATCTTCCAAGACGAGACAATTTTATAAACAAAACTCTTTAATTACTACTTACACTACAATCACTGTGAATTCATCTTAAAAAGAAACGAGGCTTAACCCCGTCTTCTCGCTACAACTCCTCTGTTCGGCAGGTATTCATCAACAATGTCATAATGAAGGATGTGGATCTAAAAGCAGCTTAAGAAACGAGTCATTAAAGGCTTTAAGTGAATAAACTGTGCGTCTGTGTGCATCACAGTCTGCCAATTAATGTGAAGAGACAAAACAGAGCAGACAAAAACCAGAAAAAAAAAAAAAAAATAGACGACGCTAGCTACCTTATCGAGCGCCTCCTGCAGCACCCCCTCGGCCTCCTCCCACTTGTTCTGGGCCATGTAGCAGGCCGCCTGTCCGTTCAGGAGCAGCAGCGTGGACGAGTATTTGTCAGACATCTCCTGGAAAATGTAGTAGGCATCCTGCAGCTTCTCTCCGCCCTGGAACAGCGAGCCGAGCGTTAGTCAGTGGTTATTCTGGACAGTCGATAATAGGTGCAAGAACCCCAGCTGTGATTTGTAATGGTGCTGGAGGTGCACCGCTCCTCGTGACCTGGAAGTTTTAATGCACTATTAAAGCACTTTGTAATGCGTCACACAAACAAACCTGCCTTGCAGCAACACGACCAACTTCAACGGAACACCGTCCATCTGCCACCTGTCATGCTTCGGTTAGAGAACATTTATAAGAGCTGCTGCTGTGCACGCTGCTAATTTAAACCTGCCTCAACCTGAATGTTTATAATGCGATTAAGAGGGTTTTATTTGATTTGGTGTACACACACATAGAGTTTACTAAGGTTTACAAAGTTCTCATGACGGAGCATTTGTTTATAAAATCAACTATATACAATATTTTGGTGATGTTTGAAAAGGCGCTGTCTGTGTTAATTCAGAAAATATGCTGCTGCACTCTCTATATCGCTGTTAAATCATAATAAATGTGGTTATTGGGGGCAAAAACGAAGTTCTGTGGAACATGTTGGCTGAATTTCGACAATATCATTGGTTTTCACACCTGAAAAATTTGCTATTTTGGATTTTTTTTTACCTATGAAGACATACCTAGGGTTCACTATCTCCAGAAATTTAACTTCCTCAGCCATGAAATCTAGGAAGGACACCAACTAATTTGTTTGATACAGATCCGAACGGTCAAACGGCTTCAGCAGAGGCCAAACTTGTAATTATCGACTCTTGAAAATGGAAAAAAGTTCAACATTTTCAAACAAGGGTGACATCAGGGCCCCAGAAAGTGACTGCAAGCGTAGCAATGAGCCCACAAGTTGATGAAATATTGACCACAGACTGGATTTTAATAGGAAATATTTATACATCCCTATACATACACACCTATAGGAGCTTTCTAGGGATCTAATGGAACCCTCATTTGGAAATTTAACACGTTTTTCCATTTTCAAAAGACATTCAAATATTTGGATCCGCTGAAAACGACTCTGTTTCCTCACCAAATTTCACGGCTTTGGGAGTTTTATTTTTATAGATACTGACTCCTTCAAACAACGTCCCAGATAAGATGTTTTTAATGGTGAAAATACAAAGAACGTAAATGTTTCCAGGTCTGAAAACACATTAAATTCTCAGAATTCAGCCAAAATATTTCACAGAACTCCGACTCTGATATAAATAATTAAACTCTCAACAAAACAGGAGCTGGTGGAACCAAACCAGAGAGTGGATTGATTGATTTTCTCCTCACCACGGCGATATTAACCCAGGCTGTGGCCAGCTGGGTGAGAGTAGCATCCTCATCCTGCTCCTGCATCTTCTTCAGCTCTTTCCTGTCAATAAAAAAAAAGTCAAGGTTGAATAATGTGCACTTTTGTCTCTGCAAACTTTTACAAACTTCTACCTCGAAGGTACAGAATTAGCACCAGACAGTGCAGAGGTTTTAGGAGGTCATACTACATGCACATAGACGTTTTCCGTGAGTCTTGAAATAACAACAGCTAATGTACCAGTTCAATGCAAATCTTTTGCTTTACGTTGTTTGCATGAGCACATTTATTAGGTCCATACCTCGCCAGGTCGACACGGTCCAGACTGAGGAGCACCTGAATGGACATGGCCATGCTGATGAATAAACAAATGATCAGAGTCAGTTTCATGCTGAGCTCTCATCAATCAGAGAGGGATGAGGAGCTGATGCACCACACAACACATCAATTCACAGATAAAGTACACAAAGTTGTGGTCCGCACAGTTTCCGAACAACGCTTTCATTTGTGGGGTAGATTTTTTGTGTGTGTTCTATTTACCCAAACACCAAACAAAATCAAATACTAATGATTTCTGTATGCAAATGCAGCTAATCTCTGTATCTCTTACACACACGCACATACAAGCTTTGTAGGCAGTTGAGTAATTTGTGAAAATCTGACCACACGATGAGCCAAGAAGCAAGTTCTCTTTAATAAACATCGATTCCTCTTTCTCTGTAATTATGCCAACATGTTTTGAGCAGGAGCCGGTTTGTTTTTGTGGTGATTATTTCCATCTGTATGATCAAATACAGTAAAAGAAGTTTGATTCAGCTTGTGAACGAAACTCTTTTTACAGTTAAAACCTCTTCTTACCACTCCAGACTCTCCCCTTGGTGCAGAGTCCTGAGAGCGGCGTCGGTGTTCATCTCGTGGTAGTAGATGGAGGCGGCCATCAGAAGGAAGGTGGTGTTTGCGGCGTCCACGCTCTTCGCCATCTTCTTGTCCAAATCGGCAACAATAGCATCCCTGAACAAAAGGACAGATAATGCATAATGAGCGAAATCTGTGGCGACAGTTTGACGGCAACAGACGTACCAGCTGCTTTGGCAAACCGAGGAAGACATTCATCAGAGCTGGCAGAGCAGCTGAAGCATTGTTTTGCATTAAACTGGGAAGCGGATGAGGCTCCTCTTGCATTACAATTTAAAGTCTTACTTAGACACTGAGACGTATTAATCTGTCAAGATCTATGTATTAGAAGCAACACAACAGCTGCGGTCATGTATCACGTTACACATAAAGACACCGTGTTCATCAGTACAGTGTCTGAATTTAAACTCAATTTAATTATCTAAGACTGAAAAAAACAAACTCTGCATCAAAAATGTGAATAAATTCCTACAGACGAGTGACAAATGAAAGGAAAATCCAATGTGAAGTGTCTTGGGCCACAACATAGTTTGTCTTTAATCTACTATTGATGCTGATAGAAAGAAAATATACATGTGAATTCATGTATTATGAAGTATATTGCCAAAAGTGCTAAATTACTTCTTATGCGTAACGTCCAGCACCCTCCATTTTGAACTAAATGTAAAATGGAAGCTCCTACCTTTTGCTTTCATTGGACAGATACTCTGCAAACATCTTCACGGCCTGAAGCTCAGGTGGAGAGTTACCCTTGATGTCATCCAGGACAACAGCGTACTTCCTCTGCAACACAAAATACAACGTGTCAAGTGAAGCCCTTTTCAGACCCGAGCTCTTTTCCGTTAATCTAACGGCTTCATGTCTGACTGCTCAACTTTACATAAAAGCTGCGACGACAACAACCTTACAAGGTCAGACCGAGGAACACTTCAGTTCTAACATGGTACAAGTCTGAACGGCATCCACATGAACAGAAAGGTAACTTTAGTTGTGTGACGGGATTTAGGGGAACATTTTTTACACATTTCAGCACCAATATTGCCCCAAAAACATCACAGAGAGCACAAAACACATCTTTCTCATTCATTTTGTGCTTCAGTTTCACATTTATTTGGGTATTAACTGAAATGTCTACAATGACAATTTTTTTTCACAAAACATTAACAGACGCTCAGTTCATTGCTTTAAGGTGTTTCCCCTCTGAATTCATTAAACACCGGCTGCAATAGAGAGCAACAGGATCCACACAAGCATCTCCAAAGCAAGTGAGCTGTGAACGTCATGCACAAGGAACATCAGTGCTGTTTGGTTAATTAATTACCTATCATTATAATTTTTCCCTGGAATGGAGACGTCAGGATCTAGCAACAGGTCACACTGTGTTCTTCACTTCACCTCAGACAGGTGAGCTGTCACACAGAGTCAACATTTATCAGCTGCGGGTAAATCTTTAGTTACATAGCTGCTGTGTTGAGACGATTTTATTTTACTGTTGGGAAAGTAGTGATGACAGTTTGCTAAGCTGCTGTTAGTTTAGATTTAGTATTATGTTTATTAGAGCAATAGTATGTTTAATACATTACTTGACCTACTGTCCAGTCTCGCGTGAATTACAAGTATCGCGTGAATACCGGTGCTCTCTCCGTGTTACCGTGGTGGGTTTGTCTGAATGAAGTTGAGAAATATTATGTCTGAATGACAGAAAACCGTCATTTTAACAGACTCATAAAGCAGCAATTTTACGTGTCTCATGTCTGAAAAAATCTTTACTGAGCTGCTAATCAATGAGCTACTGTTAGCTAGCAGTCAGCTAGCTTAAAGACAAGAAACTGAGCTAACTGTCAGATTTAAGTTTTTAGAAATGGCACTTTGACTTACCTGTGCGATGTATGCTCTGTACAGAAACATGTCCCTCTCTGTCTCCTTCTCTGGCGACGACGGCTTCAAAAACAGAACACAGGTTACAGTTTAAAAGCGAGTTCAGTTCACTAAGAGAGATGCTAGCTCAAACATTTAGCATCGCTGCTGTCAGACGCAGTGTTTGCCGCCGTTAGCGAGAAGAACAACATTTCAGCATCATCCGGGTGTTTGAGGAACTGTTTCCTACCTTCACTTTCTGAGCCTCATTAATGCACTGCTGGTAGCTGCCGATGTAATAGGCATTTTTCACATCGAACAGTTCATCAACATCTCCCTGCTGAGCCGCCATGTTGACAACACAACTTCTGGACACGTAGCAGAATTACGTCACGTCCGCCGAGGATTGTGGGAGATGGAGTTCAGCGACAAAAAAACCCACATAAACCACACAGATCTACAATCAGAGATAGTTGTGCGTTAACTAATATTACTGGTAGATCTAAAACACTGTGCGGAAATATTTCTGTGTATTAATTTGGCCTAAAATGTCAATAAACTGCACAACTCCTCCTCCCTCTGCAGGAATAACAGCTGAAACATCAGACACATAAATCAGTTGTGAACAATAACATCATTTTTAATATTACCTTTCTGTCGAGTTTGTGCAATATCAGTTTTCAATACCAGTTTCATTTGCAGCCTTTCATTTTCATGTGCAATATTTCATTTTTAAGGTGCAATATTTCATTTTTAAGGTGCAATATTTCATCATCATGTGTGATATTACTTCACCACCTTACCATCACTGCCAGTATTACTTTTTCCTTTTTCCATTCTGGTCCTATTTTACTTCACTTATTTTTATTTCCAGTGATGGATCTTGTTGCTTGTCTACTTTAGAGGCACTACATGTATTCTGATGTTATGTAATTTAGTCTTTTGAGTAACACCTGGCAGAAGAATTTCCTTTGAGATTAATAAAGTTTTATCTTATCTTAAGCTCAAGTAGGTACACATTTGTGTGTGTTTGTCTACTATGAACGCACAGCAAATATGTATTTTGGCCCCTACTTTTGTAGTTACATTGCCAGATCAGCTGAATGCTTGCTGAGCTGCAGGCTCATTATTTGAGTTGTGAACTTAGTGTCCACAGAACCTCAACAGCAGAAGTCCTGAACACATGTTTACATACAGCTGCATGTACACTGGGCACGACTACAAGCTTTTACATGTCTGTAAATGTTCACCAATGTGCAGCTACTCTACTGTTTTTATGTTGATTTTATTACACCAAATACACTATAATTACAACAATAAGCTGCATCACTGTTCTCATAGGTCACATTTGTACTTATTATATTTTACTATATTTTCAAATTTGCAAAATTCTTTTTAAAAGCTGTTGTCGGATTGTTTTATCATATAGGGTTTATATATTATATAACACTTATTGCCATGCATGCAGTATGTCAGTGGTATGTTACCAACAGAAAGGAACCTGCAGCTGGTCCACTTCGCTGCATCAACTCTCCACTCACATGCTGCTCCTTTTCATCCTTGACAGTAATGAATCAGACGCCACTTTCCTTTATACAGACAACCTGCACCCTTCAAATGGTCTCCATCTGATCTGGGCACCAACAACACATGTTCTGTCATGATCTCAGTTCCAGCTAATACAAATATGGAAACACGACTTGGCATCGACACCAGCAGAGACAAAATAGGAAATGAAAACTGGAGCCCTGCCACACATCATGAGGATGTTAGAGGTTACAAAAGTTGGTGAAATGTCGACCAAAGACTGTATCATGAATAGCAAATATGAATATATTTATACAGCACCCTCCATAATTATTGGCACCCCTGCTTCAGATATGTTAAAAGCCTTAAAATAAATTCAACTTTTATTGCAGAAGCATCCTCTCACACTGAAAATTGCAGAAAACTGTAACCTTCAACTCAACTCAAATGAATTGTTGGCAAAAGGGGGTTGTACAAAGTATTAACATCAAGGATGCTGATAATTGTGGCACACATGACTTGATGTAAAAGAATTGTTTTTTAATGTGGGATTTTTTTCACACTGAATAAATGCACTTGAATTAAAGGTTGAATTTTCCTCCTTTTTTTCATTGTGGTCCTTTATTATTTAGAAAAAAACTGAATTTACTAGAAGCTAAAGAACACATCTTAACCAGGGGTGCCAATAATTATGGAGGGCGCTGTATATGTACGCTTACTGGAACTTTCTGTGGCCTCGATACCAGACTACCAATATTTTTATGGGTCAGTAGTTCAAAATGTGGCCTCTGCTGGAGCCACATTTTTAGGCTGAGAGAGAAACATTTCAGAAGATTTTGAACCTTTAAAATGGTTTTACAGAAAAAAATGTTTTTATGAATGTGACAACCCAAAACGCACAGGTCTGGAAACAGATGGAATACCCAAAATTCAGCCAAAAATATAGTTTTGGGTCCAAAATACCAAATATTTAAACTCTGCATTAACACCAACTATCACATCTGCTTTGTAGGTTCTTAATCTGTTAATGATACTTGACATTATAATATTTTTCCGCACATACTTTCATATTTTTGATGAAACCATGCTGTTTTTGCACAGCTCACATCCCTCCCAGCGACTCTTCGGTTTCCCCTCATGTTCACATGACACCACCAGAGGACGCTCTAGATCAGCTTCACCACCTCAGGTGTCTTATTTATTTCTGTTTATTGTGACAACAGTCCTGCAGCAGCACCAGTCTGCCAATCAAATCTACACAAATGCTGCTCAGTAAACAGGAGAGCTCCAGAAATAACGCTGACGTGAGGCCGAAGAAAAAACACACAAACGGTGGCTGAAATCAGGACCGATATCAGAACTATAAAATGAGCTCAGTGTTAACAAAACAATGAGAGAAGGATATGACCTTAGGAATTCCTGTGTCCTCATTAGGCAAAGAGGAAAAACTTCCTCCGTCCTGAAAACATCCGCTCACCATTTTCCCCCCTCTTTCTCTTTCTATAAACAATACTGCGCCTGCAAGCAAGCTGGGATTATGAAATCTTATGAGAACCTTGCATAAAGTGATGTAAGGGACAAGACATACTTTATATAGTTTTATTGTATTATTATATATAAACTAGCCCCTCTGTTGAAAGCTTGATGTATTTAAGCCACACTGATGTGGAGATTTCTGGCTCGGAGTGAGAAACAAGAAAAAAAAACTGCATTTAAAGACGTGCATGATGAGATTTTATATGTTTTTAATGGAAACTCCTTATTACAGGCAAACATTTAAACTAACTGATATCACTCTGAAACTTCCCCAGTTGATTGCTTACATCATCTTTTCCTGTTTAAATAATAAAATTATATATTATTCTATTAAATATGAGGTCACTTGGAGAATTCTTAAAATCGACCAGTGCATGAAAAACCATGTTTATGTCTGTAACGTCTCTGCTTAATGTGATAATCGATATAATGTGAGAAATGAGGGACAGGAAGATGTTTAGTCCTGCATATTATTAGAAGGTCATAAACAAACTGTCACTAAATTCACATTGATTGCCCTGCTTCATGTGGACGAGGATTATTAATCAGGTTTATTATTAGCTGTGTGTCGCTAAGTGAAGCATCAGGAGGAATATTTTTGTTGTGTTCACTTTTCTCTGACATGTGTTCTTTATTTATGCAAATGAGGTCATTGTGTAGCTAAAAATGCCCTAATTTGCATTAATTAAAATTAAAAACATCCAAGTGTAGAAGCGTGAACTTTGTGAACCGAGAGACTGAAGACAAACAAATTCTGACACATTTTAAATGTTATACGTTTGGATGTTTTATTTAATTCAACATTAAAATAAACTCACATTTTAATATACAGCCTTAGTTTAAAATAAGTGACCTTCTAATAACATCCAAGGCTGCTGCTAAATATCACATTAACGCATAAATAGTGTTTTTTTTCCATGTTTCTGGTCAATATTGAGATTTTTTGGGATATTTTGCTTCCATAGAGGAATGTAAACATCCAGAATAGGCCTTCAAGTGTTGATTTTTTCTCCACAGGTTGCAAATCATCACACATTTAATGAGGTAGCACATCAATTGCATATTTATACCTAAATATATGTACATATCGGTCGATGTGTTCAACACCGAGCCACAAAACAGACCCTGATGTCGGCATCAGCAGTCGGTGGAGCCCAAAACAGAGCAAATACAGCCTGAAAACGCAGCTTCAAATGAGCTCAACATTCAGGTTTTTCCTTTCTGAATGTGCAAACAATCGACTGGTTGCAAAGTTTTTATCAACTCTGGAAGACAACAATATGAGTTTCAGCTGCTCGAAATATAAGTTACTGCAGATGTGTCACCATCACCGATCCGTTTAGACCCGTTAGAGAAAACAAAACGGCTGTTTTTCTAATTTGCTGCACTGTAAAAAAAAACAAACAAATTAATTAATTAAAATCTGCCTTAAAAAAATAACAACAAAAATAATTAAATTAAAAGAACAGAAGTGGAACATGGTAATGTTCAGAAGCTGTAAAAACATTATCAAGTTACTGCAAATATGTATAATATTATTTTATATTTAGTTGATATATATTATAAATATTTTTCTTGATGTAAATAACCAGCTGAGGAAGTTCCATTGTGAAATTAACTAGTTTTTACCTGTAATAAAGAATTTCCAATAAAACAATTTTGCAACAGACATATTTAAATGTAGGTTTGTGTCTCAAACTCTGATTCAGAAATCTCTACTTACATACGTTACAGTTTCCAGTTGCATTCACATCCATGTTCTTACAGGAGGGTTTGTTCACTGGTCAGGTACTGATTTATATAATTGTTTTTATATACAGAGAGACATAAAAAGACGGGAAAAAATGCAGCAGGCTTTATCCAATGTTCATGTTTCTTGTCTGGAAATTAATGCAAATTAGGACAATTTCTGCTATTCAGTCTCTCATTTGCATATATTTATATTCAAAAATGAAAAATATGCAAAAAAAATGCTGGTTAATGTCAGTATTCAACTGGGGATGATTTCTGATTTTATTTAACCTGTAATAAGTTTTTTTTTTTTTTTTAATTGAATTATACATATCAAAACACATCTTCAATTATTTAAATGCACTTTTCTCAAAATGAGTTTTTAGTCTCTCACTCTGTTTCCCTTTCATGGTCTGAAGGTTTTAACTGAACACTTTGTTCATGCATTAGTCACATCCTGATTTATAGAACACTTTATGAGAGAGAAAAAGACGGAAATAAAAATATTGCTTAATCTGATGTTCAGATTTCTGAAAGTTAATGCAAATTAGGCCTACTGTAGTTATACAGTTCCTCATTTGCATACACCTACATTCAAACATAAAATTTCAGAGCAATATTTGATGCAAAAAGCAAAGTCTTAATGTAAGTATTCAACTTGGGAAAGTTTCACAGTGACACCTGTTAGTTTATAGATTTAAATAGTTTTAATAAGTAGTTTCCAAAAAAAGTGAATATTTACAGTGCATGTCTTTATTTACTTAAATGCACTTTTCCCCAAATCAGCTTTTATTCTGACACTCTGCACTGCCATCCATGGTCTGAAAGCTTTAATAGAAGGGTTTGTTCCTGTGTGAGTCATAGTCTGACTTATAGAACATTTTATCCTTAAGAACAGAAACAGACGCCTCATTTGCACATTTCAACATTAAATTTCAAAAAAAGAATTTAACACAAAATAATTATGATTGTTTTAATGTTATGAAGTAACCAACTGGGGAAGTTTCACAGCGATACTGGTTAGTTTACATTTTTACCAATTTCCAATTAATGTTCATTAAATTCTACAAATGCAGGTTTCTCTCAGAATAAGTTTTCAGTCCCACACTTTGTGTTCTCATTCACAGTCTGAAGGTTTCCAAAGAAAGGTTTGTTTATACACAAGTCACAGTCTGATTTATAAAACATTTTATCCTGATAAACATAAACAGACATCATTTACACACACCTCAACATTAAATTTAAGAAAAATAATTCAACACAAAAAACTATAATTTTAATGTTAAAAAGCAATCAGATGGAGAGTTTGTTTACATTTCCACCAATTAAAATGATTTTCATTTAGTTGACATTTTGAAGGTTTTTGCAGATGATGCCTCATTTAAACGCTCCATAAGTCAGAGAGGAAAAAACTTTTTAAGACATAATTTATGAAGCTGAGCTCCCGACAGAAGCTGCTGCTGGCCGCAGTTCCTGCTCATTGTTCCCTGAGCTGGGCTTCCTCTGGGAAACTGTCAGCCTTGGGACTGGGAGCAGGATAATTCCTGGAAGCCTGAGGGGGGCAGGGCACGTCCTGCTTCTAAATGGACCTCAGTGTTTGGGCCTCGGTGGGCGGGGCCTCTCCCCCCACACTGCCCCCTGATTGGTCCGATCTGACGTCAATCTGCCGATTTACAGGTTTCAAGTTTGAAACTTTTTTTTTTTCGCGAGGAGGAGGGATCCGGTTACAACTTGTAACCGAACTCAGAAAACAAGCCTCTGAATAATTCACTGTTCCGAGCCTGATACCGGACAACAAAAGGAGCGGCGCGGAGCTTTTCACGGCCGACAAACAAGCGGACAAACCGGCAGAAACATGCAGTGAAGCGCCGCTCGGCCGCTGCCAGGATGGAGACTTGAGCGGTTCTGACCCGGGCTAACTTGTCATCTCGCTGGATCGCTTCTCCCGTGTCAAAGCTGAAGAGGAAGGTGAGTCCCCCAGTCGGTGGCCCCGGTTGATCTTAACGGTCGAGCGGGTTTTAATGAAAACACACTGAGGGCCCGGTTACCGAACCGAGCCGAGCCGATGACTGTTCGCTGAGCAGCTTCGGTTCCGCTCGGTCGGACTGACTCTGTGTGTTCGGTGACTCGTCCTTATTGGCAGCCTGTGTGTTTAACGGGGACTGGATCGATCAGCCAGTGTGATTGATCAGCAGCTAGCTGCTAACAGGCTAACCCAGTACAACCAGTGACCGGGCCGGGCTGGGTCGGGCTGGGCTGGGCTGGACCAGTGCAGGTGATCAGGGTGGGAGTTTCACCTGGTTCATCACTGACACCATTAAAGTTCCCAAACTTACTACAGAAACAGGGTTTAAGTTCTGAACTCTGAGCTCTGAGCAGGTTTCTGTTCCTGGTCCTGGTCTTCCTCTCTGTGGTGGACTCATGTTTAACTGAACCTCTGAGGAAAACTCAGAACAGTTCTAGTTTAGTTTAGTGGTTCCTGAGCAGCTTCTGGACTTTTGTTTGTTTGTTTGTTTACTTATTTGTTGCTGTCCTGTTTTGACCCTCTGTGATGGACTCCTTTGAACTGCAGCTCTCTGGAAAAGGCAGAACTGAGACTTTTTGTTTTTGTTTGAGTTTTTGTTTAACTTTGTGATGTTAACTTTGTTTGTTTGTTTGTTTGTTTGTTCCTGTCTCGTTTTTACCCACTGTAGGTTCATTCTTTACTGCCATACAATACCTGCACCTCTCAGCTACTCAGTCACTAGAGTTTTAGTTTAACTTTGTGATTTCTGAGCAGTTTTTTTTGTTCCTGGTCTCATTTTTACTCACTGTAGGTTCATGTTTCTTTGCCATACAAACTCGTGCACCTCTCTGTAAAACTCATAACTAAAACTACAACTGTAGTTTAACTTAATGATTTCTGAGCAGTTCCTGCACGTTATTTTGTTTTAATTATTTATTGCTGTCTCGTTTTTACTCACTGTGGGCTCATGTTTTTCTCCCTGCAGTACAAACTCCTGGACCTCTATGCACAACCATGACTAGAGTTTTAGTTGAACTTTGTGATTACTGAGCAGTTTCTGGACGTTTGTTTAGTTTTTTGTTCTTGTCATGTTTTACCCTCTGTGGCTTCATGTTTCCTGAACCTCTCAGTTACTCAGTCACTAGAGTTTTACTGTCTTGTTTTTTATTCACTGTCAGCTCATTTTTCACTGCAGCACAAACTTGTTTTTGCTCACCGTGGCCTCATTTCCACTGCAACGTAAAGTCCTGCAAGCAGCACAAACATGGCCAGAGGTTTGGTTTTCTAAACAACGTGTGGGCGTTTTTTGTTCCTGTCACGTTTTTCCTCACTGTGGGCTCATGTTTTACTGAAGTTCTGCACTTCTATGGAAACAGCAAACTAATGGCTACAAGTGTTGTTTCACAATTGCAAGCGTTTCCCATGTGTTCAGATGTTTTCTTTGCTCCTGTCTGGTTTTTCCTCACTGTGGCCTCGTTTTTCTCTGCAGTATAAAGTCCTGCACCTCGTTTTTTTTTCTATGGAAGCGATGGCCGAAGCTTTAGTTCAACCTCCTGAACTCTGAGCAGCTTCTGGTCACTGTTTCTGTTTTTTTCTTTGCTTAAGTGATGTTCTTAGTCACTCTGCCATACAAGGTCTCCACACTCATATTACATATTATGCGCTGTGATATTTTATATTTTTAGTTTGTTTCCGTCCTCGTCTCCTATCTGCTCTGTGTTCAGTGGAAAGTCCCCACATTGTTTGTAGGTGACTGATGGTTGAGCCTCAGTTTGTCATCGATTCTCAGTGATGGCAAAAAGCAGAGAACTGTCTGTTCAGCTGGCTTAACCTGTTTGTGTTTTGCAATTTTCTTTAAATTTAGACGTGTAAGAGATTTTTGCTGAAGTGTCACCGTGTTTCACTTACATTTGGTGTATGTAATGTAAGCGCTGTTGGTAAACCAGAGCTGCTGTCACTAACCCGTTTTGCTGTGTTGTTGTTGTTGTTGGGGGTAAAAGGCTCCAGAAAACAGGATGTGACTCATATATGAGCAAAGTGCTTTGTATAAAAAACCTTAAGGACGTAGACGGGAACAGTCCTGGAAAGATTATAGAAACTCATTTTGAGAAAACTGCATTTAATAGAAGCATTTATTGGAAACTACTTACGACACATCAAACCTTTAATTAACCGATATCCACCACGATGGTCTGAAAACGTAAATGATCCATCATCACATCAGATATGTGAAAAAAAATGTCCTAAAATAAAAACCTTAATGTGTATTTTTGGATGTTTTCCTCCCAGTTGTGTGAAAGAAGGCACATTAAGGGAGGAGCATATCCCCAAATCTCCATATTGACCAGCGCATGAGAAGAAAACAGTGTTAATGCTTTAATGTGATAATCGATGCGACATGAGGAATGAGGAGCAGAGAGCGATTTAGCAGCCGTCCTGCACGTTGTTAGAAGGTCAGAAAGAAACTGTGTGCACAAGTTAAACCCAGAGTTTGTGTTGCGTCGTGTGGAGTGAGACGACTAACCAGGTTTATTAGTTATTGATGACTAGCTGTGTGCTGGTATGTGAAACCAGTGGTTGGAAAACTGATGCATCGGTGTCACCTGAATTTCAGTTTAGGACTTTTGCAAGACTTTAGGATGCGTTTGTTGGATTTCA